TTCAGACTCCATAAAGCCCTCCCACCTTTCTTCACAGATGGGAGACTGACATGTAGAAGGAGGTAGGGTTCCTCCAATGTCACACAGCAAAGCCAGGTCACCTGTCTCCACAGGTGTATCTGATAACCAGGGTATGAAAGTTGAGACAGCATGGTGGCTAAAAGCACCAGGCTTAGTGTCAGAGAGACCAGGGTCTCAGCTAAGGTCAGTGGCTTCCTCACTGTGTGACCTCAAATAAGCCACTTACACTCTCTCAGCCCGTTACCTCATCTGTAAAATTGGGAAATGATAGAACCTCTTTCAAGAGCTTTTGTGAGTGAGAAACAGGTGAATATCTTAAAGCACTTAACGCAGTGCCTGGTGCATGTTAGTGCTGTAGAAGTGCTTGCTACTGTGATTCACATGCACAAGTCCTGCCCGTGGACAAAGGCTCAGAAGATGGAACACCGATGATAACTACAACTGTGGGGATTGTGAAGATTGTTATGATGGGGCTTATTTGGATGGGTCTCTGTTGTTTCTCCATCTCCCCAGTCTTATTTCCCACTGCTGGACTTTGGACCTCCCTGCACTGGCTGCTGGGGAGTACCTCCTGCATGCGGATGAGAAAGGAGTCGATCAAGTCCCGTGGGGAGTTGGGATCCACTGTGTGCTGGTTGTGCTCCACCTTCTTGGCTATGAAGTCTTCCAGTCCCTGCAGCTCCTTAAAGGCCTGTTGCTGTGGTCCTGGCAGGTGTTTCATCACTGAATAGAACATCTCATAGAGCTGGGGTTTGGGGAGAGAGGAAGGGAAAGGAAAGACAGCAGTCAGTGTGTAGGACGTGATGGAAATGGAACCTTTCTCAGGGCAATGAAGGCACTGGGTTAAAGGCACCTAGGAACATAGGTGGGTCTGGATGGGAATATATATATGAGTCTTCATGTGGGTTATGTGTCATAGCCACTGTCTCACCTAACTCTCACTGTTAGGTGAGATGATTGGGTGACATGTCCAGGTTTTAAATAGTCATGTGAAGCTGGATTGGGGCACACATCTAGCTGTTCACACATTCAAATGAGGTTGAGTTCGAAGGTGTATACCTCTTGAGGTAGGACTGGTATGGTGGACAGGTCACCTGCCTAGGTGTTTAGGCATTCAGGGGGGCTTGGTTAGAAACAGGTATCCACATAATTATTGGATCTACATTGGTGGCTTTTGTACAGGAGTTCAGGTATTAAAGTGGGGTTGGTGTTCAGATGTTCAAGTGGGAGGGGATACCTGTTCAGGTGTTTAAGTATTCACCTCTGTAAGGTGTTTGGGCAGACGCAGTGGGAGACACTTATTTGGGTGTTCGGGAAACAATCTGTCCAGATATTTAAGTGTTTAGGCGTGTTGGTTATGGTACCTGTCCAGGTGTTCAGGTACTTAGGTGGGTCGAGTAGATGGCACTTGTCTAGATGTTCCAGTGGGCTGGTTTTGGAAACCCGTGTAGATGTGAAATGATTTTAGTGTTCTGGATTTGGTAGCACTAGGTGTTCAGGTATTCATTAGGTTGGTTAAGGTGGTGACTTTTCCATGCATTAAGATTTTCAGAAGGACTGAATAGGGAGCATCTGCTGCCGGATAATAAGGTAACTGGGGATGAGAATACCTGCCCAGGTGAGAGACCAAGTTTAAGGTATGTATTATGCTTGCAGACTTTGTTTTTTGGGGGGAACATGTGTTAATATATTCAGGTGTTCTTGCAGACTGAGTAGTGGGCACCCATGCTGGGCT